AACTGAAGTGATAACAAATGTTTTATATTTTATATTGCTAGATAAAAGGTTAAATTTTCATATATAACATGCTCTTATACACACACGCATACACACACACACACACACACACAACTGGATAAAAGGGAAATGAGTAATTCTCCTAAAATGGAAAGATTGTCCTCATTTTAACATTAGGTGACTAGTTCTCATGTGGTTAAATCATATGTAAAAATTGGAAATTCAACCTTACGGGTCTTTGTGTACTGACTATATCATACAGTTCTAATTTTCTTTTGTTTTTCTGGGAAATAATGGTGCTCTTTGCTTTGCCAAGTTTTATTATTGAGTCAACTGCCAAAGTTTCACAGCGAAAGTCAAGGGCTCTTAAAATGATTTGGTGTTGAGTGAAGAGTCAGAGAAAGGTATTCCATATTCCCAAACATTTTAACTTTTATGTCTCTACCTGATGTTGGAATATAATCTAGACTTCAAGGCTTTTCTGATTCTTTTTTAAATGATATACCCTGTTGAGTAAAGTTGGAATATTAGTGAGGGTAACTTTAATTCCACTCATTGCTACCCAGTTTGGAACTACATATTCTAATTTTTAATTGAATATATTCTTTCTTGCCTGATATTCCCTGTATTTAAACTTCCGTACATCAGAAGATTTGTGCGCCTGCTTGTAATTTTGTACCATCTGGAAGTTCATATTTGACTTCAGAAATGATATCATACTTGCTTACTGCAAACTGGGCTAATGTTGGTTGAGATTGGATGCAGTTTAGGTCAAAGTTTTGTCTTAATGTTTGAGGGTCTTTTTTTTTTTTTAATTTCTTGATTCTAGGAGACTTTGCAAAGTTAAGTTAGAGTGAAGGTGATTGAAGGGCATGATCCAAATTCCTTTGAAGTTAAGTACATGCTTTCTGGCACATGGAAAATAAATTCTCCAAAAGAAGACCTCAGCTGGCACAGACTCCCTCCTGCCATGTTGAGTTTGATGTGTGATGAGTAGTGTGTTGATCACAACCATCCTTACTTTCTGTTTTGTTTCTGGAGAAATATTCTCACGGTTAGGGTTACTTTTTAATATCTCTGAGGCTCAGGAAGATGCAGCAGGGCACTGATAGATCACACATGGCAAGAAAGTGTTACGATGTTAAGCCTTGAAGTCTAGATTATACTCCAACAGCAGGTAGAGACATAAAAGTTAAGATGTTTGGGAATATGAAATACCTTTCTCCGTCTCTTCACTCAACGCCAAATAATTTTAAGAGCTCCTGACTCTCTCAGCATTACAGTCTCTTTTTCTAAACTGTCTCCAGCACCACTCACTACCTCCCATGTTGTAATTTATTTATATCACAGTTCGGATATTGGGCATTTCCTTTAGTCCAGATAGAGACCATTCAACTTTGACAGCTGGAATGTAGGCGTAATGGAACCACAGTCATGGGTTTCTTCTCAGAATCACAGTGAGTCTTGGTAAGCCTGTGTGTAAATATCTACAATTGATTGTAACTCCTTATAAGCACTGCTATAATCTGGAGTGCCCAGCTTGTCCCGGCAATTTCCAAGAATCTTCCAAATGCTTATCCTTTACTCATAAAGTCAAACTCCTATTTTTTTTTTTCACTAGATAGGATAAAAAAGAGAAGTAGTGGTGTCATTCTAGGTTGGCAGATGAAGGTAACTTTAAACAAAATAGGCCACTTTCATTTAGGAAAGAGAAGACCCCTGAGAGATGAGTACCCCTCCACCTTCCCAGACCCCGTCTCTACGACTATTATGTGAGAAGAGGCACAGCTCTCTGGTATTTGAGGAATCTGCACCTGTCACCCTCTCCAGTCACAGAATGCCCTTCCTCTCTCATAAGGCAGCCAGGGCCCCTGGGCCTTGGGGGCTCCATGCTCTTGTGATCACCCCTCCCCTGCTGGGACTGCCCAGCTTTATCCTCATCTCTGGGCCAGAAACTGGAAAAACTCTCTGCTCACCACCTCCTCACCACCTTTGACCTTTACAAACACAGCTTAGGCACCCATTTCTTAGAAAGGGGCAACTAAGAAAAGGAGATCCTACTCTAGTAGCTTTTTGTTATCTCTCATATCATCAACATTCCATGATTCCATTCTACCAAAGACTGATTCCTGCCTTTAAAATCATAAAACGTTAAGCACTATCTGTTCTAACCTCTTTGTTCTACAGATGAGGAAACAGACTGGAAGGCTGGGCAGAGGGAAGTGAGAGTTATTTTTTCTGATCCTCATGGCCAGGTGGAAGCAGAACTGGGCCTAAAACCCAAGTGTTATTTGCATTGTTCCTATTGACTTCTTATGGCACCTTGCATCCTTTTTGTTTTTCTTTTCATCTGAATTTTACTTGATTATAGTATAAAGAAGTGAAACATTCAACAAAATTGGTTATGAGATGCAGCAACCATGTACTTCCCCTTGTCTCATTTCTTCTTCCCCAGTACAAACCCTTTTAACTCCCTGTGTTTGGTTATTTTGTTATCTCTAAATAATATGCTTATATCTCTACTTCCTGATTATTGATATAGCAACTATCTATTGACTTTCTGGTATGGAGGGTGAGGATTAGACCCTTCTGTCACCAGCATCTCACCCATGTGAGCTGAGCCCTATCCAAACCATCCCAACCATATAGCCTTCATTCTCCCAATAGGATTATATAGCATTAATCATTTATTATTATTATTAATTTAGTTGCCAGGCTATGTTTTTGTTTATTTTGGTCTCTTTCTATGAAAGAGATCATCATAAGATGTTTGCTAATGCTTAGATATATACTCATATATTTTTCAACTTCATTGATATTAATTTAAATGATTAAATTATATAGTTCAATGGGTTTTGATTAATCTGTACACCATGTAACCACTCTCCACTCTCCTGATGTATTTAGAGAACAAAAGTTCCCTCCTGGCCCTTTGTAATCAGCCCTTCCCACCTCCCGCTCCAGGCAACCATTGCTCTCACTTCTATCACCGTAGTTTAGCTTTATCTTTTTTAGAATTTCATAGAAGTGGGAGTAGAATCATGCAATCAATCCTCTAAATTATTTCACTGGACACGCTTTTGAGATTCATCTATGTTGTTGTATTGGTAGTTCATTCCTTTTTATGGATAAATAGTATTCCATATAAATATACCACAGTTTGTTTATCCATTCACTTGCTGATAGACATTTGGATTCTTTCCAATGTGATCAATTATGAATGGTACTGCTATGAACATTTCTGTAAACATCATTCTGTGTACACACCTTTCACACTCACTGTATGATCTCGTTTAATTTTGATTTGTAGTAGGAAACATAGTATATTCCTTTCCCACATCAAGGGAATTAACCACAAGTTATTTCATTTATTTCTTTCCAAAGTAACCAGGACAGATCCTTGAGGAGGTAACTCCTGTAACCCATGGATGGTTCTAAACCTAGCTTTTACATATGATCACATTTAAGGTATCTTTAATCATCCAGAAAAAATAAATCATGGTGGTTGTCTCAGTTCATTCAGACTTCTGTAACAAAGTACCTGGCCTGGGAGGCTTCTCAGCAACAGCAATTTCTACCTTACTAGCAGAGGCTGGGAAGTCCAGGATAAGGACACCAGCAGATTGGATGTCTGGGAGGGCTCACTCTCTACTTCATAGATGGCACCTTCTCTCCATGTCCTGTGTGGTGGAAGGAGTGCATGAACTCCTTTGGGCCTCTTTGAGAGGGGATCTGATCCCATTCATGAGCACTTCACCCTCAAGACCTACTCATCTCCTAAAGGTCACATCTCTTAATACTATTGCACTGGGGCTTTGATTTCAACATACGAATTTGGGTGACACAAACTTGCAGACCACAACAGTAGTATTTGCTGAAGTGGCAACACAATAATTGTAGCAAATGGTTCTAGTCTTTTTGTTTTTTTGTTTTTTTTCATTCAATAAAAAGCAAATTCTTGGGACTAATATATAAAATGTCATTGTTCAGCTGAGAATAATTTCCTTAGGAATCTTGTAGTCTGTTATTGACAATAATAAGGACAATAACCCTTCAAATAAAGTGTTTGTCATAGTTGCTTTTTAAGACTAGTGTGTTTAAGATTAGTATTTATTTATAAATATAGTTGCCAAATATAGTATCATAGATCAATAAAGCATAATTTGAAAAGGCTATAAAGGATTAGCTTTAAAATCATCTTCTGGTAGTCTTCATACTATTTGGATTGTCTCATTTTTTAACCACCCTAGTGATTTTTTTCTATGATCTAATCTCAGTAGCCTAGAAATAGAACTTTTTTTGCACATGGCCTTCAGAATGTTAAATAAAAAATAAAGCTTATGTTTTCTCCTTTAATTATGACATTTAAAAAGCAAGAATTGTAATTTTCTACTTTTTGAGTTAAGGTACAAACAGGGACTTTTTGTGATATGCTTTGATCTTTTTTTCTTTAAAAATATTTAGAAAGCATTGTTTCATGTAGCTGGAGAATGGATATTTTGTTTCTACATCATTTTCTTCCTCCAGCAGCATTAACTTCCTCTTGGCAACGTGTATTTTTCATATAAAAATGGAGGGTTTCTCCACGTGTCAATCTTGTTCTTCCAGATGTCCATGGCTCGCTACGTTTTCCATATTCCTGGAGGATGCTGCAAAACACGGGCAGCGTTTTCCCCTCCCTGGGCTCTCAGAGACATGGAGTATCATTGTGCTCTGTACCCCAGCTTAAATAAACATGTTTCCTGTAAGTGGGGAAACAAACATGAAAATATACTACTGTTTTGCAATGTCTTACTTCATAGAAGCCTTATATTTTTAAAGACCGTTTACAATGAAAATGACAGTCAAGATAGATACAGGTGTTAAACCACACCGCGAGCCTGAGTGCAGCTCTCTGGCGCTGTGCTAGGTGCATGCTGCGCCCCGCTCCTCCAAGGCCACCGCTGCCAGGTGCTGACGACCTCTGTACAAGACCACAACCTTCTTTTTCCTGATTTCAGGTAGATGCACTGAGATTGCGCCTGGAAGAGAAAGAATCTTTTCTCAATAAAAAAACGAAACAGCTGCAGGACCTCACAGAAGAGAAGGGGACGCTGGCTGGAGAGATTCGTGACATGAAAGATATGTTAGAGGTGAAAGAAAGAAAAATCAATGTTCTTCAGAAAAAGGTGAGTAGCTCACATAAGCCCCTCAGGTTGGGAATTGGTATCATCCATGTCTTATCATTTTAGAAAAATTTTGAGCACATGGAAAATAAAATATCTTTTTAAGAATTTTAGATTAGGAAGCATAAACTTTTTACTTGTAATTTACTTACTGGTAGTTGTAGCATATTATTTTTTGCATGGCCTGCTGAATTTTCTATTTGATTACCTAGAAACTAAATAGTGATGATTTTTTTTTTCATTTGCCGGAGTAAACATAGAGTAATTATATAAATTTAGATACAAATCAGAAATGATAAAACATCAAAACAGTTGGCTAATGTTCCTTTTTCCTTACTGAGAGTTAGGAAAGTATTTTGTGTGTCTTAAATGTATTCTAGAAGAATTTTGTATTCACATAAACTTTAGTAGGCGCTATCCTACCAAAACTATGTAGATTTGGGGAGGGGCAGGAGTAATATTTTACGCCCATTGCTTAATTGAAATCAATGGAAAGAATGTATAATAAGTTCCAACCACAGTGATCCAACCCAGGATATGCTCAACTTTGTTAGGGTCCTCCCTCCCTTCCTTCCTCAGCTTATTTTCTTTATTATGCAGTACCCTGATTTTGTGACAACACCCCAATTTTCTCTTGGAAAATTCCCATTTGCTGCTGTGTACAGTTTTGTTGGGACCTTTGAATGTCCTGCCTTCTCCTGGGAAAAAAGTAGGCTAGAAGAGAAACCAATATTGCTCTTTTATGAAGAAGAAAGTATGTTGGAAAGATTGAGGGCTCTCGGATGAACAGACACCCGGCGTGGAAACTGGGCAGAAGTCACTGGTGGATGCTGGGCGGCATGCTGGCCGGGACCCTGCCATCCACAGGCAGGGGGGCCAGCACCGTGCTGCAGCTGCAGGCAATGGAAGCACTGGCCCCTGCTCTCAGTGTCACTGGCCACCGTCATCTCCCACCTGGCTTAGATCAGTAGCATCCTAACTGTTTTTCCTGTTTCCACCCTTATGTTTCCTACAGCCTGATCTTCACACAGAAATGAGAGTAATCTTTTCATAAAATAGTTCATGTCACTCTCTGATCAAAACTCTCCAGTCACAACTAGCCACATAATCGGTGGGGCCTAGTGCATAGTGTAAAGGTGGAGCCCCTGTCCAAAAATTGAGAATTTCTTGATAGTAATAGGAGAATATTAAACGAAGCATGGCTCCCTGTGTAGTTGCACAGGTCACAGGCCATGAAGCTGTCCCTGTCTCCAGTGGCTTGCATCATTACTCAAGGTGCCAGTGGAAGTCCTTACAAGGGCCCAGGGCTCCCTCTGACCAATCGGAACGCCCGTCTTGCCAGTTTCCACTTTGCTCAGGTTCCATCAGCCGCTGTGGCCTTCGTGCTGTGCTGCAGACATGGCAGGCACGTCCTCTCGGCCTGACGTGTGCTGTCAGCGGGAACACGCTCCTCCGGAACCCAAGCTGCCCAGTGTGGTAGCGTGAGCCGTGTCGCTTTAAGGCCTTGAGTTGAGGTATGCTGTAAGTGTGAAATACACATCAGATGTGGAAGACTTATTATGAAAAAAAAAGAATGCAAGCTCTCTCATGAATAATTTTTCTGTTGATTATGTGTTGAAATAAAAATATGTTGGGCATATCTGCTAAGTTATATTATGAAAATTAATTTCACCTGTTTCTTTTTACTTTTTAAATGTGATTACTAGAAAGTTTGAAATGACCTGTGTGGCTCACGTCATGTTTCTGTTGGGCGGAACTGCTCTAAACAGCCACGGAGCTTATGCCTTTGCTTCCTTCAGGTCTCTGTTCAAATGGCACTTTGTTACGAGCCTTCTTTGTCCATCCTGCATAAAATAGCATGACCACTCCCATTCCTGACTTCGGTATTCCCTTATGCAGTATTATTTTTCTAAGTAGAACTTATCACTATCTGACAAATGTATATTTTAAAAAAATGTATTCATTTGTATTACTCAAATATAAATTCCAGGTCAGTCTTTTTTCCCTAATTATTACATCTTTAGTACACAGAAGGTATACCTGGTCAATAAATATTTGCTGAATGAATAAATGAACTTGCTCCAGAGTTAAAGTCTTGAGTAGGAACATTTAATTGGCCAAGATGAGGTCACAAGCCCACCCCTTACTGCCAAGAACACTCTTTCCTGTGAATTTGATTCAAGGACGGAGCTATGGCACTCATTGTTTTTCTGCGGCAAAGCAGTGATGACATTATCAACAAATTCCTAATATCTAAACCCCCCAGCCCCCGCCTGCCCATGCTTCTGCCTTTTCATAAATGTACTCTAGTCTTTCCTAACTCTGAGATCCAGCCAGTCTCTTCCCATTGCATTCCTATATTATGGTCAGCCAGAAGCCTAAATGGTATGTTCATGTACAGAATAGTGGCTTGCATTTAAAAAATAAAGTTAGATTTAAACCCAATCATAGAGACTTCACTGAAGAGTGAAAAGTAGAGAATTGCCTTTGTTTGGAATTCTCAGGATATTGGCAATTTGATGGGTTATATTATTAATTTATTTCTGTAAAGGTCTTTATGCACAATGTCTTCATCATTGGGTCCCCCTTTTGCACACCAGCTAATTGATACAGATAATTAGAAGAGGTGACTAACGACCCTTGGATCAAAGGGCCTGCCTAGGGCAGGTGGGATGAACAGAGAGATGGTTATAGCAGCAGATCTTGGAGCACGTTCTAAAAATTTAAAAGAAGAATTTTCATTTAAAATCTCTAGCAGCAAATGATAACAGAATGAAATTGATTGAACTTATATTGAACACTGTATGCTGGATACTCAAAAATGCTTGTTACACGTACTATTTACTTACTTTTAACCATTATGTGGCTAGGTACAATTATTAATCCAAGGATATCGAAGCTTATTGTAAGCTTGCCCAAGGTCACACAGCCTAGATATAAGTTTCTTTTTTTATCTTTGGGAAAATTGAATAAAATGATTAATGAAAATTAACAAGCCTCATTTTCCTTTTGACCTCAATTTTTATGATGACAACACCAGTCATGAGAGTGAATTGAGGAAGAATATTACAGTTGTTTGTTTTGTCAGGAGTTGAGACTAAGTGCTCTCATTCTTGAGGAATAAATGACAGTTTTATTATTAACGATTTTGGGATGGCACTTTCAATGCATAAGCAGGAAATGACCACTTCTGCGCATGCAAATATTTTTCAAAATTTTAAACTTTCCCCCACAGCCAGACTCAGAGGTTTGGGGGCCAGTTTGGAAGTTCTAGAACAAAGTTGTATATTATGCCTTCTTTTGGCAACATGATCATGATTTCACTTGTTTAAATCCTGTAGATAATGCATGTGGAAATGTTTCATGCATATTTGGAGAGGTAACTCAGCTTCAAGTTTTTTAATGGAGTATTTACCCATACATTTGAGGAGGAAATAAAACCACTAGAAATATAGTAAAGCAGCAGGGGCTCTATTATGCCTGCAACGTGAAAGAAAAATAATCCCCAGACAAGTGATGCAAAAAATTTAGAAACAGACTCAAAATGTATTAATAATATAGAGGGCCAATATCGTGGGCCAATGAAACATCATCTTTGGGGCTGGAGACTGCTTGGAGCTTAGACCACGTTTAGCATAATTGGCTGTTTTAAGGCAGGCCTGGACTGACACAGTATGAGCTTTGGGATTAGAGTGTGTTGGCATAGAAGAGTAATACACTCATGTCACTGTCAGAGGTGCAATATTAATATTTCTTATAAACTTTTTTGCAACCTGCTTTGTGTTTTGATGCCATGTTTAATCTGGTGAAGGTAGGCTTGCACTTAGTCAGCTTTGCCTTCAAAGCTCTGGGTGGCAGTGGTCTCGAGTCCTGCCTAAGCGATGTAGACAGGCATGGCCATGATGCTCTAACCATTTCATCACTCGAGGAAGAAAGTGAGGCTGAATAGAGAACCCCAGGTGGCAGAACATCTATGATCAAGCTTTCGTAAGGACAAGATCATCCAGAGTGGATTTTTATCCTTACCGTCATATTTTTTGGCTCTACTCCATAATTCTAAGATAGAGTTCTTTCAGTAGGGGACAAAAATGTGCATGTATGAAAAGTGTCTAGTGGAATATCCCCTTGTGTCTATGCTACTGAAATCAGAAGAACAGTATAGTTTTCATGCTGTAGCCTTGCTATTCTGTTCCCATACCTGAATTTAAAAACTGTAACTGATGAAGTGCTACGTGACTATTGAGTTTTTGTAGGAAATGTCATAAAACCTTGATGACATTGTACATTTGGAAAGTGTATAATGCTCAGGATTCGAGGACATAGTAGCATTATTTGAACCAGATCAAATTCAGCAAATTAGGCAGCTCATAGATTTTGCAGCAAAAACTTGCTACCCAAGACATTTTTAAAAAAATGCCATTAAAATGGACAAAAATTCTATCTTTATTTTCATTCTAGGCCTCAGTCCCACAAACAATGAGAATTTATAAAGCATAGGTACTTTATTAGGGGTAGAAAAACAGATGGTGATCTCTCTGGAAGCCAAGTTCACTGGCTGCCTACTAAACTCCATGGATTGCCCTGTGGGTTGGAAAAGGCAGAGAGTGGTGAGTGGGGTTAGCTCCTGGGAGTGTTGTGTATGGTCCTGCCCACATCAGCAGCCTTACTGTACCTATTTGGAAGTGTGGTGGTGAAAATTCTGATGCTACGGAAGTGCTAAGTTTCTTCATGAGATTTATGAAACAAAAAGAAAGTAGTACCTGAGAAGATGACTACAGAATGTAGAGATTTCCATGTCAGTGTAAAATTGAACTAAGATGTGGAGGACTTTTTGACTCAATTGAGCTCTTTCGTGGTGTTTAAACATCTAGTTGATCTTTTATACTTATTATTGGCAAACCTAATTTTTTGAACATGTGAAAAATCATATTCATTTTGCATTTGCTGAGTGCTTGTATGTGTCAGTCACCACTCTGGGGCCTGGAGTTTCAAAGAAATAAGAC